AAACAGATTGGGACCGGGACCGTTCAAATTCGCAATCATTTGTTCGCATAATTATACAATGTTAGACGAAGCAAGAGAGAAGGAGAGACGAGACATCCCACTAACTGCCGAGAGATATGAGAGAGAGGGGAGAGAGAGAGACGAGATGAGAGAGAGAGAGAGAAGAGAGAGAGAGAGGAGAGATGGGAGAGAGAGAGAGAGAGAGAGGAGAGAGAGAGAGGAAGGGAGGGAGGGAGGGAGAGAGAATCAGAGGAGGGACAGATACATAGAATAGATGAGAGAGAGAGAGGAGAGAGAAGAGAAGAGAGAGAGAGAGACGAGGAGGAGAGAGAGAGAGAGAGAAGAGAGAGAGAAGAGAGAGAGGAGAGGAGAGAGAAGAGCGAGAGAGAGAGAAAGCGTCAAAGGGGAGGATGGGGGGAGGGGGAGGGAGTCAGGCAGAGAGGGCCTAGGCTCCGCTGGTAATAGCCGCTCCTAATAGATGGCTCTGCGAGAGGTTCAGGGGAAGTGAGCGAGGGCTTAGGGGCGCCGCGGAGCCAGGGTGAGGCGGCCGGGTCTACTGCGGCTCCCGGCGGCCAGTTCCGTTACCCTTTTCCCGCCCACACGCCCCCGTAGGCCGCCCACTTCCCAGGGCGATCACGCTATGACTCCCCCTTTGAGCTAACTGTATTTCGCTCTCGTCTTTTTTTTATTTCGTTTGTCCTTTCTCTGTCTCTCTTCTTTCTTTCTCTTTTTCTTTTCTTTCTTTTTCTCTTTCTTTCTTTCTTTCTTTCTTTCTGTTCTTTCTTTCTTTTCTTTCTTTTCTTTCTTTTCTCTCTTTCTTTCTCTTTCTTCTTTCTCTCTCTCTCTCTCTCTCTTCTCTCTCTCTCCTCTCTCTCTCTCTCTCTCTCTCTCTCTCTCTCCTCTCGTCTCCATCTCCTCTCTCTCTCTCTCTCTCTCTCTTCTCTCTCTCTCTCTCTCTCTCTCTCTCTCTCTCTCTCTCACTCTCCTCTCTCCTTCTCTTCTCTCTCTCCCTCTCTCTCCTCCTCCTCTCCCTCCCTTCCCTCCCTCCCTCCCTCCCCGCTATCATATTGAGCAAAAAAAAAAAAAGAAAATAAAACAACAAATAAAAGTTTTAGCTTTCTTATTCCTGTGATTCTCTCTCTTCTCACTCTTTCTCTTCCTTTCTTTCTTTCTTATCTATTCTTTCACCTCACTTTTAAATAACCTGGTATCATCCCAAGGCCAGCGACCCTACCTCTTCCATATATCCTTTCTTTCTTTCTTTTCACCTTTCCTTTCTATTCTTTCTCTCCTCTCTCCTCTTCTCTCTTCTCTCGCTCTACTCTCTCTCCTCTCTTCTTCCTCTCATCTTTACTCTCCTCTTCTCTTTTTTTTTCTTTTTTTCTATGCAATTGTCCTCCACACAGAGGCTCATGGACTTTTATTCTCCAATCACTGAGAGGGCAACTGCAAAGAAGATGAGAGTCGCAAAAGAGCGTGAGAGGAGAAAGAAGAAGAAGGAAATCCCAAAAGAGAAGAGAAAAGAAACAGAGAATTCAAGAAGATAGAAGGACTAAAGGGATACACGCGGGGACAACAATGGGAGGGAGGCGGCCAAAACTACCAGGAGAGGGAGGCCAAGGACGCGATCGAGACAGAGAGACGAGAGAGCGACGAGGAGAGATCGGGGACGAGACCCTATCTCTCGTGAACTCACCTTATATCGACCCGAAAAACCAACCTCGTCCTGGTCGCGCTTTCGCATCCTCCCCGCGGCTCGCCCAGGCATCTCAATCGCACTTCCAGACAGGAGAGGAGGGAACCTCTCATCAGTTAAGAGAGACGAAGAGGAGAGAAGAGGAGAGAAGAGGGAGAGGAGAGAGAGAGAGAATGACGACTAAGCGCAGAAGACGAGTGAAGAAAGGGAGAGGAATGAGAGAGAGGAGACGAGAGGCAGACGACAGCGAGTGGAGAGACACGACGAGAAAGGTGAGGAACCGCGAAAGAGAGCCGGAGAGAAGACGAGAAGAGGAGAAGCTGTGAGAGAGAGAGACAGGGACACGTGAGAGAAGGAAGAAGAGAGAATATGACGAGAAAGAAAGAAAGGAAAAGCAAACGAAAAAACAAAGCAGATCAAGGGAAAGACAAGAACAGAAGAAAGAAAGAAAGAAAGAAAAGAACAAGATAAGAAGAATAGGAAAGAAAAAAGGCAGAAAAAAAAAGAAAGAAAAGAAAGAAAAGAAAGCCAGAGAGACAGAGAAAGCAAACGAAATAAAAAAAAAGACGAGATAGCCGAAAATACAGTTAGCTCCAAAGGGGGAGTCATAGCGTGATCGCCCCTGGGAAGTGGGCGGCCTACCTACCGGGCGTGTGGGCGGGAAAAGGGTAACGGAACTGGACGCCGGGGAGCCGCAGTAGACCCGGCCGCCTCACCCTGGCTCCGCGGCGCCCCTAAGCCCTCGCTCACTTCCCCTGAACCTCTCGCAGAGCCATCTATTAGGAGCGGCTATTACCAGCGGAGCCTAGGCCCTCTCTGCTGACTCCCTCCCCTCCCCCATCTCCCCTTTGACGCTTTCTCTCTCCTCTCTCCTCAGCGCTCATCCTCTCTCTCCTCTCTCCCTCTCTCTCTCTCTCTCTCTCTCTCTCTCTCTCTCTCTCTCTCTCTCTCTCTCTCTCTCTCCTCTCTCTCTCTCCTCTCTCTCTTCATCTCTATCTATTTATCTGTCCTCTCTGATTCTCTCTCCCTCCCTGCTCCTCCTCCCTTCTCTCCTCTCTCTCTCCCTGCTCTCTCTCTCTCTCCTCTCTCTCTCTCTCTCTCTCTCTCTCTCTCTCTCTCGTCTCTCTCTCTCTCTCATCTCTTCTCTCTCTCTCTCTCTCCACCTCTCTCTCTCTCTAACATTGTATA